AGTGGGGAATAACCAGGTCAATCCTTTCGAAAATGGGAATAATCACAATAGCACCAGCTTTAGACCGCTTTACCCTCCTAATTTTAATTCAAACATAATATAAGGATAAGAATCTGTCTTCGGAAGTAGTGTTGCAAATAGGGAATCAACTGCGGAGTCAAGTTGCAGTCATTAGGAATATTGAAAATCAATTTGGTCAAATAACAAATTCCCTTAGAAATAGACCACAATGAACTCTTCTGAATAACACTAAAGCCAACCCTAAGAAGAAGAGTAATGAACATGTGAAAGCAAATAAGTTGAGTGGAAAGAAATTGGATGAAGTAATTAGGAGGAACCTGAGGTAGTAGAAGACAATCCTGAGCCTGAAAGACCAATTGAAAATTTTTCTAAGGACTTAAGGAAACCAATCTCACCCTTTGGAAGGACTTAGAAAAATTACCTCCACCATTGCCTCGGATACTTCAAAAACATGTTGGATAAGAAATTTTCCTAATTTTTGGAAGTGTTTAAGAAGTTAACCATCAACATTCCCTTTGATGATGTTCTGGAGCAGATATCTAGTTATGTGAAATTTATGAAGGATATATTTTAATAAAAAGATAAAGCTAGAAGATTTCAAGACAGTAGTACTTAGCGATGAGTGCAGTGTTATTATCAAGAAAAAACTCTCTTAATAACTTAAGGACCCTGGGACTTTCACCATTCACTGTGGAATGGGAGAGAAATTCTTTGTCTATCTTTAAGAGATTAGGATTATGAGAAGTCCAGCCCAGCACTGTAAGCCTTGAGCTGGCTGACTGTTCACTTACCTACTCTGGGAGGATTATAGAAGATGTTCTCGTGAAATTAGATACCCTACTGACTTTATCGTTCTTGATATAGAGGAGGATAAGGAGATTTTCATCATCTTAGACAGACAATTCCTAGCCACCAGTAGGCTATGATTGATGTACAGAAGGGGGAGTTGACTATAAGGATAAATGATGAAGAGGTGACTTAATATTTTAAAATCTATGAAATACCCTTTGATTCAAATGAGGATTCTTGTTTTAGGTTGGATCCAGTAGCAGACTTATAGAAGTCAATTTCAGAATATTTCTGAAGCTGACCCAGTAGAGCAGGGTTTGATTGAGAATGATAGAAATGGCTCTAATGATGAATCAAGTGTACTATTGGAGGCAAGTCCTAGGATGTATAGGAAGAGGTTCAAACTTTTGGACACCACTGGATATTCTAAACCATTAGTTTCATCCATAGAAGCGCCGCCTGAAGTAGAAATGAAGACTTTACCTAAACACTTGAAATATGCATACTTAGGGGAGTCATCCAAATTACTTGTAATTATATCCTCATAACTCAATAGTTTACAAGAAGAGAAGTTAATGAGAGTTCAAAGGGATTTTAAGAGAGCCTTTGAATGGACTTTAATAGATATTAAGGGGATCAGTCCTTCACTATGTATGCATAGGAGCCTTATGGAAGAAGATCATAAACCTAGTGCAAACCCTCAGAAAAGACTTAACCCTGTAATGAAAGAGGTTTTAAGAAGGAAATATTTAAGTGGCTTGATGCAGACATATTATCTACCCCATCTCAGAAAGTGTCTAGGTTAGCCCTATTCATTGTATACCCAAAAAAAAGGGGTGACTGTTGTTGAGAATGAGCATAATGAATAAATACCTACAAGACATGTCACTGGGTAATGTATTTGTATAGAATATAGGAAATTAAATTCAGCAACTAGGAAAGATAATTTCCCCTTACCCTTTCTAGACCAGATGTCGGATAGGCTAACTAGTCACCCATTCTTCTGCTTTTTAGACGGATATTTAAAGTAACATCAAATTCTTATAGCTCCATAGGACCAGGATAAAACAACAATTACGAGCCCTTATGGGACTTCCACCTTTAGGAGGATGTCATTTGGACATTAATGTCGCTGCCAGTTTTCAGCGTTGCATGATGTTTATTTTTTGTGACTCAATCAAAAAGGAAATTGAAGTTTTTATGAATGATTCTTCAGTATTTGACCCTAAATTTGATACTTGCCTAGAACACCTTGCTAGGGTTCTTCAGAGATGTAAGAAAACAAATCTTGTTTTAAATTAGGAGAATTGTCAATTTATAGTTATTGAGAGTATTGTTTTGGGGCATAAAATTTCAGAGAGGGTAATGAAAGTGGACCCGGTGAAAATACATGTAATTGAAAAACTTTCCCGACCCAATTTTGTGAGAGTTAGGAGTTTTTTAGAGAATGTTGGGTTCCATAAGCGTTATATCAAAGATTTTTCCAAAATAATCTAACATCTATATCACCTTTTCAAAAAAAAATGACCCATTTATAATTGACCAGTACTGTCACACTGCCTTTAAAATTTTAAAAGAAAAATTAGTCATGACACTCATTGTTGTTTCACCTGATTGGGAGTGTATTTTTGAGTTTATGTTTGACGCTATTGACTGCTCTGTAGGGGCAGTGTTGGGTCAGAGGAGAGAAGTTTTTTAGTCGTATGTTATACCAGCAAGACCCTTAATGATGCTTAAAGTATTTATACTACAACTGAAAAGGAGCTTCTGGCTATAATATATGCATTTGACAAATTCAGGTCCTATTTTATTGGAATCAACATGTCATTATAAGTGCTCCATTTCTTGAAGAAATTATGTAGATAACTAATACGACAATACTAGCATCCACTCAACTAAATTTGATACTATTTTCTATTTCATCACCAAGTCAAAAGAAATCATAATCAATGAAAAGAATAATTTAAGTAGCAAAAGTTTACATACTAATTTCCTTAAAAAGAAAATTGTTATTCGATCAAAGCAAAGAGCGAATTCTCTGTACAAAAATTCAAGAAAAATTTCCTCTACTTCTGAAAATTTTCCAAGAGAAAATATATGGTGATAATCCTATTGTCACTCTTCCTTAAAAAAAAATTATCAATGATTGTTATATCTCTACTAAAACTCAACCTATCAAATGCATAAAAAATATATAGAGATTTACAAATCTGAGATAAACAAGAACAATTATAAAGAATTTCTAGTCCCAAAGGAATTCAGTAGTAGTCTATAATATGAATATTGTCGAAAAGAAGCGGGAACTAAGTTGTAAATTATAAATTTGAATAAAATTATAGAATGATCTAAATATCAAATCCCACAAAAGAGATATACTTTATCACCTTTATGAGGTAGTTATATTTTCTATATTTGATTTACAATTAAAAAAAAAAACATATCACGTAAAGGAAGATGGTCTCTATAGGATGATCTTCATTGTTTTTTTTTTTTGGCATTGCAAATGAAATGTCCTGTAAATTGACCACAAAAATGCCTCATACGAAATCCAAACTAATTATGAATGATATTTTAATTCATATTTTTATATTGTGATTAATTGCATTGAAGATATTTTAATATTTTTCTAAACTATCAATGAACATATTAACAATTTTAATACATTCAAATGATAGCACAGAAAAATGGTTTAGCCATTTCTATCAATATTATTTCAAATAGAAATAAGATTTTTGAGAAATATAATATCACAGGTCTTTATTATTTTTATTAATAGAAGTAATTAATTCACAGATAAATTTACTTATATTATTACTAAAATTACTCAAATACAAATATTTTAAGTGTTTTAAATAATGTAGTCAATTTCCATATAAGTCTTGCGGCTGATGCAGCTCTTACTTTTTATGGCCTCAAAACGACACTTCTTGCTTGGTTTGAAATTCATACAAAAATAGATAAAATAATTAAATCTAACTAATCCTAAAGTCTCAAAATCATTAAAATTGATGTGTCTAAGCTTGGATATGGTGGAATTTTGAAAAAACAAAACCTCAACACATCCAAGAAAAAGAATTAGTTAAATTCTCATATGGTAAGTGGAATGAGACAATTTAAATATTTCAAAATTAAAAAAGAAATATTTGGTTTTATAAATCCATTATCAAATTTAAAAAATGATTTGGTTAATAAACTTTTTTTGTAATGAATCGATCACAGTGCACCTAAAACCATAATCCAAAAAAGACGCAGAAATTTTGTTGTCAAACAAACTTTTTCAGCTAGCATAATTTTTTTCTTTTTTTTTTATATTTATAGTGAATATATTATAGATCATACTGACACTCATCCTAATTTCTAACTCAAAAATTTGTGCAGAGCTTAAGAAAGGTGAATCACCCTAAAGGGTAAGAGTCTAATGAATTGTATAATCTGTTAGATATTGGTTATATTATATAGTTTCCAGACCATATTCAAACTTCTCTCCATCACAATAAAAGATAAAAAGGTAAATTGAAATAAAAAAATTCTTCTTGACTAGACTTAATTAGACTTGTTCACAACCATACTAGCTTCTCAATGATAAAAGTTCTGCATCAAAAAATAGATAGGAAAAGTTATTAAGTGGTTAATTTACTGTCGAATTGTATGAGTTGGTTCTTACATTAATAACCTAATTATCCATACCTTAATTGCCTACATAAACTCAAAAAAAAAAATTGATAGATTTCACTCCCACATCTTATTTTATATATAGAACCAAATATAACAGATTTTTGCCCAGATTCTTTGCCGCTGAGAACTTTATAGTGCACCAGAATCTGCACTAAAAAATCATGAAAGGAGATTCTTAATTGGAGATGGATTTGAGATGGTGAAACGATTCTATCTTTCTATAAAAGAAATGGGTTCTGCCGCTATATCATAATCAAAACACGAGTGATTCCTACTTCAATAAAATTAAAACACGGGTAGTCGCGCAAAATAACAAGAGGCCCTTCCGATTCTATCTTCTATAAAAGAAATGGGTCTGCCGCTATCTCAGAATCAAAACAGAAGATGAAATGATTTTTACTTCAATAAAATTAAAACACGGGTAAACTTGCAAATTAACAAGAAGCCCTTGTTCTTCCAGCGGATCAGGAATGATTTAATCTTGGAGGGGAGTCATAGGCAAAAAAAAAACGTACTTGGGAGCGAAGGCGGTCGTTGTCCTTGAGAAGGATGTCATGATCAGCAAGAAGGGCGTCGTAGGAGGCCTTAAGGCGGTCGTAGTCTCGCTCGAGCTGCTTCGTCTTCCAGCGGGCGCGGCGGTTCTGGAACCATACGGCCACCTGTCGCGGCTGCAACCCAAGCTTCTTCGCCAGTTCGCTCTTCTTCTCAGGCTCTAGCTTGTTCTCAGCTTCGAAGCTCCTCTCCAGAAGACACACCTTTCCATTACCATTCAAAATTGTTATTAATAGCTTGCTTCCACTACCTGATGCTTTGCTTTCGGGAAAGGAGAAAACCTCACAGAAATTGTTATTAATAGCTTGCTTCCACTACCTGATGCTTTGCTTTCGGGAAAGGAGAAACCCTCACAGTAGTACGAACCAAAAATAAATTAAAAAGAAAAATATAAGCACTCATAATTTAGAACTCACTAATTAACGTGAGCACCAAGACTTTTTAAAGTCGGGAGAATTTAATTCCCTTAATGTCAACACCAAGCACCGCCATGCTAAAAAAAGAATCAAAGTGATGACAGGGAAACCCACTAAACCCCTACACGGATAATTTTTAAATTCCTAATTAGCGTCATTAACCACGTTCATGTCCCGAGCAGAACCGACCGCTCTTTAACCCCATGGAATTTTTTTGAGACGGTAGAGGAAGGAGTGATTACCTGCTCTGGGGTGAGACGGCGCTTCTTTTCCGGAAGCTGTTCGTCGTAATACTCCTCTTCTAGGAGCTCCTCCACAGTTGTAAAGAAGGGACGCCGCTTGGTCGCGCCATCCTCCAAGCTTACCACCGATCTCGTTCCTTCATTACTCCCGAAACCAGAATTCACATGAAATTGAAACCCTAAAAATAAACCAATGAAAAGTAGCGATCAGAATAGCAATGAATACCTCGGAAGAGAGGGCTACTGGAACCACCGAGGATCAGCATGCGGCCTCCATGAGAGGAGGACGAATTGACGATGAGTCTTCCGGAATCCATCTTTCTCCCTTAATCGGAGCGTTCCCTGCTGAGTTCTCGCACTCCCCCGTTCCTTTACTAAACTATAAGCGAAGGCCAAATCTCTTACTAGGATATGGTTACTATTAGATCGATGCTCTGTCCTACCTTTAATTGGGCTACCCTCAGAAAAAAACGATGGTCTTGTGGCGGAAGAAGCTCGTACTCCACAGCATGCGGGTTGATGACTTCATCGGGAACAAGGAAAATCCCATCATGAAACAAATCCCAGTTGGAGAAGCTCTCTCTGCTTTCCCCACTCAAAGCGTTTCGCAGAATTTTAATCGACGCCGCTTGCCGCGGAGAGAAAAGAGATGAGCAGCAGGAAGGCGATACGCTGAACGTAACGTCCGACAATCGCCGGGATCAAAGATTCCGGCAATCGGAGTGCTCTGTAGTCGCGCGCTCCTTCTCTCTCTCCCTCTCTCTCTTTCACTGAGCTCTGGGAAATCTTCGCAGCTAAAGTTTACAGACCTGAGGAGCGCAAGCTTTTATAGATCTCAAATTTCGGCGAAATGACGAATACACCCCTTCTCGTTAGCACCCACACTCTCTTGTTATTATTATTATTATTGAAAATATAATCAGCCGTCGGGT